GCCGCCCGCCCGCCCCGGGGGCCGCCGGGAAGTGCCGCTTGCCTCGTACCACCCTAGGGATTTCCCGGCCCCCGCCCGACGAGCTGACGTCACGGCAGCGCCGCCATAGGAAGCGCTGGGAAATTGAGTCCGCGGCCTGGAGACTGTGATTAGCGATAGGCTGGTGGTGGACGGGGCGAAAGGAAGTAGATAGACCTCCCCCCCCCTTCCCCCCAAGGAACGCTGGGAAATGTAGTCTTTAATCGGAAGTTCATAACGACAAATGTCGGGACAGTCTATGCCCCGAGGCACACTGGGAATTCCACAACTCAAGCATCGAATGGAAATTGTCCGGTTGGGGGCATACTCTCAGAAGCACTGGGAAATGGATTCCGCAGCCTGGAGACTGCGACTAGCAATTTCCTAGTGGGACGAGAGCAAGAAAGAAATGGGCTAACCCCGGAGTGAGCAGGAAAACGAAGTCGGAGTACAGGAGGGTCAGCCTGGCAATTGGCGGTAGTGGGCGGAGCCTAAGGGGAAATGGCGGACCCCTGTGGCCGCTGGGAAATGGAGTCTATAACCGGAAGTTATTGATGGCAACAATCTTGACTGTTAAGTGCCATAAAGTCAGTTTTGACTCATACCGACCCTGCTTAGGGTTTCCGAGGAGCATATGGTGGGTTTGAACCGCCGACCTTGCGGTTAGCAGTCCAGCGCTTATTCTACAGCGTCAGACTAGGACTCCCAAGAAATCCGCAGCTGCCATTCATCAAATGGGACTGATGTTTATCCTGTGGCATGCTGGGAAGTGTAGTACTCAGTATAAAAGCGGGGGGGGGGGGCGGCTGGGCAGCGGAGAGAGGAAAGACGCCCAACAGTCACCGATCCTGCTGGGAAATTGGCCCTGTTGCCCGAGTTGTTGTTGTTGTTGTGGTTAGGTGCCATTGAGTCGGTACCGACTCATAGCGACTTTATGCACAGCAGAACGAAACACTGCCCTATCCTGGGCCAACCTTACTATTGTTGCCACGCGAGTCCATCGATGCTGCCACTCTGCCAATCCATCTCGTTGGGGGGGAGGGGGGGGTTCCTCCTTTTCTCTGACCCTCCACCTTACCAAACATGATATCCTTCTCCAGCGACTGGTCCTTCCTGACAATATGTCTGAAGTATGAGAGACAAAGTCTGGCCATCTTGGCCTCCAAAGAGCACTCTGGTTGCACTTCTTCCAACACAGATCTGTTGGTTCTCTTGGCAGCCCATGGAACTTTCAATATTCTCCTCCAACACCATAACTCAAATGCATCAATTCTTCTATGGTCTTCCTTAGTCACTGTCCAGCTTTCACATGCATATGAAGTTATTGACAATACCATGGTTTGGGTCAGAGGCACATTAGTCCTCAAGCTAACATCTTTGCTCTTCAGCACTTTAAAAAGGTCTGGTGCAGCAGATTTTCCTAATGCAATACGTCATTTGATTTTTTGACTGCTGTTTCTGTGAGTGTTGATAGTTGATCCAAGAAGAATGAAGTCCTTGACAACTTCAATCTTTTCTCCATAGATAAGAATGTTGTTTATTGGTCCAGTGGTGAGGATTTTTGTTTTCTTTACATTGAAAATGCAATCCATTCTACCGAAGGTTGTGCTCTTTGATCTTCATCAGTAAATGTTTTGAGTCCTCCTCACTTTCAGCAAGCAAGGTTGTATCATCTGCGTAACCCAAAAAAAGTTATAGAACTAATTTTTTCATACCTTTTGTATAATCTTTCAACAAGATGTAATTTACTTCATATATATATATATATGTATGTAACATAATATGCTCTCTTCAAGTAGAAATAATCCACAAAGCAGAGATTTTTTTTCTTTTAATAAATTTCCCCTTCAGTTAACATATACTCATGGAGGTAGTAACTCAAAATACCAACAGAGAGAGAAGGAGATTTCACATCAAGTATCAATACTATCCCCTCTGTATACAGGGTAGCTAGGGACAGGCAACTTAGACATTGGCTAGCTAAAATGAGGAAGTGACTGGTTTACAAGGTTTCAAGAGGGAATTTAGTTTAAGAGTGTGTGTGTGGGAAGATAGAGTCCCCACTGAATAGTTTTCATCTTGTCTAGATGGAGTTGTTTAATAGAGATGGGATAAGATTCGTATGATTCAATAGTGAGTAATTGTTATCATGATTAATTGCGACTGTCACAATTGTAAAGATAGAAGTTTTGTAACAAAAACGGAG